TCAGCGTCACTCTAGGTCTGCATACAGCCGAATAAAGCTGCTTTCACACCGGACGCGAAACAAATTTTTCGTACGACAGATTACATTCAAAGTCGATGCAAAGACGCGAATATTCGCGTCTTTGCATTGACTTTGAATGTAATCCGTCGCGCGAAAAATTCGTTTCGCGTCCGGTGTGAAAGCAGCTTAAGTGTGGCACCGTGGCACTCACAGTAACACACTAGAAGTTCATTAGCATGATAAAGTACGTTACTCTGACGATTCACTGTCTAAGTGTAGACACCACAAATTCACAAAGCGCTGCTCAAATACAACGTAGATCATGGTTATGCTGTGCAAGCAAATGAGAATGATGCTAGTATACTGTATGCATAAAAAAACAACCATTCACAATGAGCGTGACAAAATAAATTCATGCCATTTTTCACTGTTGCAAACACTGCACTTACTGCCTGTAATAAAGCATTGGTTCCTAGCTCAGATTTCAGTTGGTGATTACAACCTGTCACTCACTCTGTGCTAGCAGACTGCCCTGTGCCCACTTTTCTGCTGGCCCAGTGATATGAATCTGCTGTACACTGCAATATTGGCCGAGTATATTTTTCTCAATAAGCGCGCCTGCCAGCTGAATGAGCAAATAAATCAACCATGTATCTCAAATCTTCTGAATATTATTCTTAAGATGATGAACTCTGAGAACCCATCAGTTACTTACAAGTGGAACGCCCACATTGTGCAGTTTCAAAAGCTTCCTGAAGGGGGCACTTTTCACGGACATTTAGAACCAAGGAAGTTAACTTCCCTGGAACACAAACACTCGCTCTGGCAACACCGCAATAGGCAAGATTGGTTAGAATTTCATTATAAACATACCATAATTAAATGCTTTTCAAGCAAACAATATAATGCAAATACTAATTTCTCCCTGATTAAAGCTGGAGAGACTGACTTCTTCATGTGTCATACAAATAAGTTAGAATAAAAACAAATGTCTGATTACTGTATGCATTGCTATACTAAAAAAAAAAAAAAAAATGTTAGCTTTGCAAGAGCTTTATATAAAAACAGTTCATAAAATTAAATATCAAATCGCAAAGTTTGAAAAAAACCAACTATTTCATTTTCAAGAACAACTTCAAAGACAGGAATAGCACACTGTAGCAAAGCTTGCTAGCTGGCAAGTAGGGAGACTTTTACATCACTGGAAATATGAAGGAACACCTACTGACATCCACGCTGTTAAAAATGCTGGTCAGCATGTAGTTGTGACTAAAGCAATAATCCAGTGAAGAGAAGGTCTTCATAATTATTTTCCACATTCCAAAACCATTTCCAAGAGGCATATTGTACTGCAGTAAACATTAAATCAACATTAGCATATTCAGTTAAGAAAAGTCTAATGGCATATTAGTTTGATCCAACACCCCTTAGGGACACCATTAGCAACTGTTACATCCGGACAGGAATCAAGGGGGTAATTTCAGGGGGTACAGACGGACACTCCTCCCCCCAATAATGTGCTGGGAAAATGCAAAATCAATGAAAGAAATAAAATGTTCTCTCACAAACATAACCTTTTCAGTTTTTATGCCCCAGCTGCCCCCCCCCCCCACCATAAACTACCTGTCTGACTGGAATATTCTGTAAATAACATTCTGATTACATATTTGTGACATGGTAAAGGGTCACTGGCAGCAATCATTACACGAAGATTATAATATTTAGTTACGATCGCATGCGATTTTGACCTCATACCTTCAAGGGTGGCTAGCAGTAACTATCTCAACAGCCTCAAAATGTTAAAGGAGGAACATTATGTTTGTGACAGTATGCTATATAGGCTTAATAATGCAACTGCTTAACAGAATTAAAGGGTGGTAGCTACTGCACTCCTCCTGAAGAGAGGTGGCCTTCAGTGGGCGAGTCCAGGTCCCCAGCGTCGGTCTGTTCAGGACACCGATGTGATAAAAACTAGAGTGGAGATGGTCCCCATTCACAGAGGTAAGTTTGATGCCCCTCATCCAGGAAAAAGCTGAGAGGGACACAACGGAAGATAAACCCAGTCCAACACCAGGAGATAATGAGCACAGAGCCCAGGGTCAACCAAAGGACCAGAGCGCTCAACTCCCATCTTCAACTTTCTCACAAAACTTCCTTTATCTTCACTTTTGAAATTCGTCCTTAATCAGGTCAGAATTTTTCAGGCCCCTGATGGATGCCAGGAAGAAGCTATTATTTGAGAAAAACCTATCCAAGCAAGACAAATTCTTAGCAACACAAAAAGGGGCTTATTAGAGCTACAAGCTGTCCTGAGATACTGTGATCTTTATTAATCTCAAAAAACACAAATAAAAACTTGGACAATATCTCTTCCTCTCATTAGAGAGTTAAAAAAAAAAAAATTAGTGAAATCTGACTGACTTGAGGGCTTCTGAGCTCAAAATGGACTCCGAGATACGAGTTCAAACACCTGGATTAATTGAGGAGTGCCATTCCACCGTCTTCGAGCAAAGACCTCACAAATCTATTGCTACTAGAAACCAAATAAAAAAAACATTGGTGCTGAAAGATGATTGGATGTTTCCGGAAGCATACTGTGCCCACCTTACATCAAACAAGATGGAGCAGGGCGTATGGCCTGATGTCACTGTCTCTAGTAAGAGGTAGCACATTATTTTGCTGCTCTCATAATGCACTACATTTCCAATATCAATAAAAAAACTGAAAAAATACAGTATGTTCTGTCCTGCTCAAGATAGAAAATGATTAATGTGGCGAGGCATAATTAGGTGTGGTTTTGAGCATGCTAGTTCATCACAGCGGTGCTCTCTCGTACCAGAATTACACTCCTCTCACCAGTGCCTGGAGGGGATTTCTCCCTTATTCTCACCAGCTCTGTCTCCCCAGTAAATAATCAAACCATAATCATGTTTAAACGAAATAAAAACAGTTTCAGGCAATGCCATAGCCTCTTGGCCACTGGATTACTTGCCGAGCCAAATAATCAAGGGTCCCATGAAATCAAACACAAGCTAAACAAACTCCCTAACAGAGAAAGGAGGGAAAATGGCTACCAGTTTTTTTAGGCGCATACATTAGGTCGCAAATGCTTTCCCCAATTCAGAAAGGGTTAGCGTTAGCATTGGCATCCACCGCCAGAAAGCTGAATCACCTTCGGCGCATTTTCATAGGCGCTTCATTATTTTGTGTTTGGGCAAAAGTGCCAGCGTATATTTTCTCATTACACTTCGTAATTTGAATCACTTGAATGGACAGCTATCCAAAAGGGCAACATAACGGAATTCTCATATAGGCCCTGCCCTTCATACTAATTGTTTGTATTGTACATGGAGCCTGCCCATAGTTAAGACCTACACATTCACAGCATAGTGCCCTGGCTTTCACCCCACTGCATCAGTCACCGTCCTTAAACACTTGACCGATATCAGGGATCACGGAGAAAATCATCTTCTTTCACATCTTATTTTAAACACACATTGCATTTAGAATATGCACTCAGATGTAGGATGTAAAGCTACGATAAGCATCTTTAAATACATAAAAAAAGGACTGAATCCCTTTTTTTCAGCTAGCCGCGGAGGTCAGCCATTGGGCTATGCACTCTCTGCTTATCGGATTGAGTGACATTAAGCCCATAACCCTCGGCTCAGTGCCCCGTCCCACGAAGATTTTGCGGGCACCATTAATCACACATGGCCCAGCTGATGCTCTTATTTGTCCATTACTTCAGATAATACCTCAATCCCCCCTTTGCTCCCAACCTGTACCTTCCTATGATGTTTCTATTCAAATAAAGTCCCATTCCCACACCAGAAGTCCATTTGGATGAAATCAGGGATGCGTTATTGCTATGTTATTTGTGGCACTGTATTTGTACAGGCGAGTGTGTCCTGTACAATTACTTGGGAGCTTCCAACCGCATTCAGGTATTTGTGTGATCAGTCTCAAACATACCTGATGCTAGTTGTCATTAGCATTTTTGCGAGGCAACACACCAACAACCTGGATAAGACTGGGAAACCCAAGAAGATGTCAGACAAACGCTGGTAGAGGCTGAAGAACAAGCCGCTGCAGCCTGCTACCACAGTTAAATCTCGCACGCAGCCTGCTTTCCCAGTTAAGCAAACACAACAGCTGCTTTTATCCCAAAAGCAGTGCTAAGTGGGTACGTTGGGCAATGCTGGCAGGCTGCCGAGTCATGTTAACTTAGCTGCCTGCGTTTTGCGCTCAGCTGTTGGTGTGATGCTGAAATGGAGAGTGGAAATAAGAACAAACTCCCCGTCTTCCTCCGGCACATATGCAGAAGTGCCAATCCTGGACATGACGGTTATAAGGCTGTACAATAATACATACTGGCTGTGACAGGCTACAGAGCAAACAGAACTAGACAGTAGGTCGCCTGCTGTTCGACGTGTATCCCCGGACCCCTAAAAGCAATCACTCTCAAAATCCATGGGCTTTATACCCTTACCACATATAAGGCCCATGGCAAATATGAAAGAAATCGGTTGAAATTCGTGGAACGTAGTGCGCTCACAAGCAAATCTCTACGGATGTGGTAGTGGACACGGCAACAAACGCCGCGTGATGACTGCTGATCCATAGCATCCCTGACACGTCGTCCAGGGATACAATTACACTATAAATCTATCGGTGAGAGGATATCTTGCTGCAATTGTTGTGAACCTCAAGACCTGAATGTGCTTCTGTGCTGCTTCTTATACGTGGCGTAATGAGCAGTGCGTAAGCAAACAGCACATCTCCTTGATACAGGGTGGCAGTATAAGACAAGGATTTAATTATATGGTGCTGAGGTCAATAAACAAAGAAGGCTTGTATGCAGCATGCAATAACCATAAAAGAGAAAGCTATTAATTCCCTTCATATCAAGGGATTAAGCATTAAGCAGGGGAAATAAAGTGTTCTGTTCATCGCAGTAGGATTTCCCTGGTGGCTTAATTGTGCAGTATACAGTCCCGAGCGTAGTAGTCCAGTGGATAAGATGTTTGACTGGAAGTCAGAAGGTTGCTGATTCGAGCCCCAATTCAGCAACAATAAGATCACTGCACCTGTTGGACCCTTCAGGGGAGTCCTTAACACCATGATATTCCAGGGGGGAAACGGACCTCAACTTTACCCAATCAACTGCAACTCTAGATGACGAAATCAGCTAAGTGGCTGTAATGGTACAAAAAAACTACTTTGCGTACAACATAAAAATTAGAACAACTTCGATGAACTAGCTACGAACCAACAGCAAGCGTTGATTGCCATGTCTCCACCTGCCATAGTTTTAATGCGCCCTGAAAGGTGATCTTCGGTCTCCGAAAACAGCTGACCTTATGAGACCTTGACCTCTGACCTAAAAACCTCCAAAATCTAACCAGTTCAGCAACCCTCCATGAGGAGGAACCACTTCTGATTTAGTCAAAATCCGTCAACACCTACAGTAGGTATCCCATACACAAGATGGGTGGGATGGACGGATGAACAGACGAAAGGATGGACAGATGACTGAGAAACAGTATGCCTCCCGCCCACTGTGTGTGGTAGAGGCATAATACAAACACCAATTTCCCTCCAGTTGCTGGTACACCTACTTAGCAGTGTCAACCATCACATAACACAGAACACCACCAAGTAATGAAGTCCTAGTCAGTAGAGGGAGTGTGAGAGAGCAGTGCAGTGTCTGCATTCACACATGTGCCATTACACTCCATTTCTATTGGTCGGAGATGAATGGGCAGCTATCGAAACGCTCCTGCTACTCTCGTACAAATACAGTACCACTTAAAAGCTTGGAATCACTTGTCATTCATGCAGTTTTTGCCATTTTATTCAAAAAAAGGGTTAGTATAAGAGTGTGTTATATGTAACAAACACCTCTATTAATTTTAAGGTTTTTTATTTAGTATTTCATGTATATGAGGCAAATTATTTAAAATAATACTTTAAGTTCATCTATTTCAGAAATTTCTCATCAAAGTATCCATCATGTGGTTTAATCTATGGGTTTAATCAGTGATTGGCAATTGTTAGGCATTGGAGATATGTATCACCTATGGTAGGGATTTCCTCACGTAGAGTTTGGATTTATGTTTTGGGTTGTTTGTTTGCCGTTTCTTTCATTTAATCCATACAGAAATCACTCAATGATTCCAAACTTTTTGGATGGTAGAGCATAAACTGACTCAGGCCCACAGAGCCAATTCACTGCAAACTTCCAAATGTCTATTAGTCACCACACTATTTGTGTGATAATGATAAAATCGCTGCCTGAGGTCAAAGGTTCACAGCATGCCATTCAGACAATAAAGTACAAAAAAAATCTTTCGGTACTCAAGTGAACTTTTCCACCATTAGAAACATTAAAGGATGGGCTAAAGATAAGACTCCTGCAAAAAAGCTCCCGCTACCTTTCAATGGCAGCTCAGCATCTACCTACACCGCCATGGCTAATCACTAAAGCCGGTATGACCAACAAACAACTCAGAAGAGCAAAGCAAAACTTTCTTCACCCTTGGTGACTACAGCGACGTTAATCATCCCGAGGTGCAATGAAGCACAGGTCTCTGCAGGTGCTTGTGTTTTATTTTGGGGTTGGATTAGGCGTAGAGCCACGGTTCTCCAGAGGAGTCGGGGGGGCAGTCGGTGATTAGTCATTATAAGAAACAGCAGGGCTACTGGACCCAGAAAAGTTCAGAGACCCCTGTTCTTCCAAACTAAAAATATAATCACATCTCCTATGGGAGAGGAGGGACACGAGGGGCAAATTCAAAAGCAGAAATGATGAGGTCACAAGGCCAGCCAAGAGGGAGAAAAATAAGCAATTTTTATTAAGTTGGAAATAAAGATCTTTTTTTTTTCTTTTTTAATGGCCCTCTTTGAAACTCTGAGATGGGCCTCACCAAAACCAAAACCCTGACAACGTGAACAATGGGACCAAAAACAGTCATGCTCCACAACAGGCTCCAAAATAGATAAAATTGCACATTTCATCAGGGGGCGCATTGAAAATGGTTCGTGGCAGTGCCCGCAGCTGTTACATCGAATGCAGAGTAGTCCGAACCATGGCAAGGTTTTCTTACACTCAAAAAATAAATAAATAAATAAATAAATAAAAAGTCACACTCAGGGGCTGAACTTCAAAAAGTCACCTGCTTTTTGAGAGAAGAAAATGTGTATGGTTCAACCCTGGCATGCAGAGTGTCTCTTGATCTTAAGGGTTTGTGTTAACATAACACATTGCACATTCTTCTCATAATTAGCTTCAGGACAGAATACCGAGTTCATTCCTCCATGCTGAGTTCGTACTTACACTTCCCTTTTTAACCTGGGGAACAGTAGACAAGATTTTAGTCTATTAGACAGCAACAGTCTGAAAAAAAATCCTCACACGATAATGTTGTTAATTTAGGAGTTCTTCCTCACATCATCCACTCTGAAGACAATCCCAGGAAACTGTAAGAGGGAGCTGGTACATTAAATGAGTGAAGCAAGAAATCAAATCTATCCCCCAGTCCCCTTCAACAGCAAGCACGCTACTGAATCAGTCTCCATTCAGTGCTGTAAAAACCATCCAACTAGTACAAAAGCCAATAAGAGCCGGCACTTCTGTGCAGTAAATGTTTTCTGGGAGACGACGGTTTCAGGGTAAAAAAAAAAAAAATGCAATCAGCCCTTCAGTGCCAGAGTACGAGGGAAGCAGTAGAGCCTCTGTTTCAGCATTTACCACCTGCCAGTTCACTGCTTTTCAAACCCCGTGCTTAGGGACCCATGTGTATGCTGTTTGCTTCAAGAGTTTTAACAGGCTGTTAATTCCTCCTAATTAGGCCTAAACTTTTCCTGATTTCAGTGACTGTACTCCCTATGAACTATGTCCCTTGTGCACGTCATGAAGACTGTAAAAGTCCCAAATTCATACACTGCTAGAGTACTAGATTGAAATTCCAACTCCGCGAACCTTAAAATGAGCTACCATAAGCATGAAAGCCACCCTAACAATACTCCAACACCACACTACCATCCATAACACCACCTTACCAACCTCAAAACTGCCCTACAAAACACAAAACCTCCCTACAACCCCCAAGCTACTTCACGCCCTCCAGCTTAACCCTGCCATCAACCTGTACGCTGTCCTCCATCCACAACACCACCCAACCACCAACCTCAACACTGCCCTCCATCCACAACACCACCCAACCACCAACCTCAACACTGCCCTCCATCCACAACACCACCCAACCACCAACCTCAACACGGCCCTCCATCCACAACACCACCCAACCACCAACCTCAATACTGCCCTCCATCCACAACACCACCAAACCCCCAACCTCAACACTGCCTTCCATCCTCAACACCACCCAACCACCAACCTCAACACTGCCCTCCATCTACAACACCACCCATCCACCAAACACTGCCTCAACAATCCACCAACCCACAACAATGCCCCATCCATCCCCATCCACAACACCACCCATCCACACCAACCTCAACACTGCCCTCCATCCACAACACCACCCAACCACCAACCTCAACACGGCCCTCCATCCACAACACCACCCAACCACCAACCTCAACACTGCCCTCCATCCACAACAACACCAAACCCCCAACCTCAACACTGCCCTCCATCCACAACACCACCCAACCCCCAACCTCAACACTGCCCTCCATCCACAACACCACCCAACCACCAACCTCAACACTGCCCTCCATCCACAACACCACCCAACCACCAACCTCAACACTGCCCTCCATCCACAACACCACCCAACCACCAACCTCAACACTGCCCTCCATCCACAACACCACCCAACCACCAACCTCAACACTGCCCTCCATCCACAACACCACCCAACCACCAACCTCAACACAGCCCTCCATCCAAAACACCACCCATCCACCAACCTCAACACTGCCCTCCATCCACAACACCACCCAACCACCAACCTCAACACTGCCCTCCATCCACAACACCACCCAACCACCAACCTCAACACTGCCCTCCATCCACAACACCACCCACCTGCCAACCTCAACACAGCCCTCCATCCAAAACATCACCCATCCACCAACCTCAACACTGCCCTCCATCCACAACACCACCCAACCACCAACCTCAACAATGCCCTCCATCCACAACACCCACCCAACCACAACACAGACCTCAACCACAGCCCTCCATCCAAAACATCACCCATCCAACCACAACACCATCCAACCACTGACCTCAACACTGCCCTCCATCCAAAACACCATCCAACCACTGACCTCAGCACTGCCCTCCATCCACAACACCACCCAACCACCAACCTCAACACTGCCCTCCATCCAAAACACCATCCAACCACTGACCTCAACATTGCCCTCCATCCACAACACCACCCAACTGCCAACCTCAACACGGCCCTCCATCCAAAACATCATCCATCCACCAACTTCAACACTGCCCTCCATCAACAACACCACCCAACCACCAACCTGAACACTGTCCTCCATCTACAACACCACCCAACCACCAACCTCAACCCTGCCCTCCATCCACAACACCACCCAACCACCGACCTCAACACAGCCCTCCATCCAAAACATCATCCATCCACCAACCTCAATAATGCCCTCCATCCACCCAACCACCAACCTCAACACTGCCATCCATCTCCAACACCACCCAACCGCCAACCTGAACATTGTCCTCCATCCACAACACCACCCAACCACCAACCTCAACACTGCCCTCCATCCACAACACCACCCAACCGCCAACCTGAACATTGTCCTCCATCCACAACACCACCCAACCACCAACCTCAACCCTGCCCTCCATCCACAACACCACCCAACCACCGACCTCAACACAGCCCTCCATCCAAAACATCATCCATCCACCAACCTCAATAATGCCCTCCATCCACCCAACCACCAACCTCAACACTGCCATCCATCTCCAACACCACCCAACCGCCAACCTGAACATTGTCCTCCATCCACAACACCACCCCAACCACCCAACCGCCAACCTCAACACTGCCCTCCATCCA